ATAGATTTCTTCGTCTATATCGCCATTTAGAAAAGCGGTTTTTACGTCTATTTGATGAACTTCCAAATTCCGCAAAGCGGCAATTGCTAGTATCATCCTAATGGAATTTATTCTCGTCACAGGAGAATACGTGTCAAAGTAATCATGGCACTCGCGTTTCTTGTATCCCTTGATTACAAGTCTGACCTTATACTTATCAATGGAACCGTCTGGTTTCATTTTTCGTTTAAAAATCCACTTGGATCCCAAAGGTTTACATCCCGGAGGGAGATCAACCAATTCCCATGTGTGATTTTTAAGGATGAATCCACCTCGCTTTTGATGGCTTCTTTCCACATCGGTCCTTCAGTAGATGTTACGGCTTCCGTATAAGTCCGTGGCTCATTTTCTACCAAACATGTTAGAAAATCCGGTTCATTTTCTACCATACAAGTTAGAATATTCGAATCGAATTCTACCAGGTATGTGAGAAAATCCGGTCCGAAGGATTTTTCAACTCTAGCACGTTTGCTACGTCGGGGTTCGGGTTCTTCACCGGATCCCTCGCTAGTATTTTCCATAGCTACGTCAAATGTTCGTTTTGACGTGCTAGGTCCTTCATTGGACTTGCATGGAAATATATTTTCAAAGACTGAAGCATTCCTTGATTCAATTATTGTGTTTTTATGTACATCCGGATTATTCGAATCGTACACTAAAAACCGATAAGCACTACTATTTTGTGCATATCCAATAAAAATACAATTCACCGTTTTTGGACCTATTTTTATTTTCTTAGGTGTTGGTACAAGCACCTTAGCAAGACACCCCCACACTTTTAAATATTGATAGGAATGTCGTCTGCCTTTCCACAACTCGTATGGAGTTTTATCATATTTTTTCCGGGGAACCTTATTTAAAATGTAATTGCTTGTCAAGATTGCTTCGCCCCATATATTTTGTGGCAGGCCCGAACTTACTAGCATCGCATTCATCATATCTTTCAATGTGCGATTCTTTCGTTCGGCAACACCATTTGATTGAGGTGAATAGGGTGCGGTACGTTCATGTACTATACCCACGCTCGCGCAAAAGTCACCAATTGGTGCTTCATACTCACCACCTCGATCACTTCTAACCGTTTTAATCCGTCGATTAAGTTGGTTTTCCACTTCATTCTTATAAAGAATGAATTTATCGATTGCTTCATGTTTATTTTTCAATAAATAAACATAGTTATAGCAAGTGCTATCATCGATAAAGGTAATAAAATATTTATTACCGCCACGTGTTTGTATTGATTTAAAATCACAAACGTCACTATGAATTAATTCAAGTGGTTCCGTTTTTCTTTCAACCAATTTGAAAGACGTTTTCGTTAGTTTTGCCTCAACACAAACTTCACATTTGTGCTTCACATCAATTGTGAATTTAGGAATGTGCTCCATGTTAATTAATCTACGTATAGAATTAAAATTAACATGTCCTAGTCTACCATGCCACACATTAGAAGACTCAAGCAAGTAAGCAGAAGGGATTTTATTATTATTACTAATAATAGTCGTTACATTGAGCTTAAACAGCCCATCACATGCATACCCTTTGCCCACATACATTTCCGATTTAGACAAAACTAGTTTGTCCGACTCCAAGACCATGCGGAAGTCATGCTTGTTCAACAACGAACCGGAAATCAGGTTTTTGCGTATTTCCGGAATGAACAAAACTTGGTTTAGAGTCAGCTCCTTGCCCAAAGTCATCTTCAGGACCACTTTGCCCACGCCTTCAACCGCGGAATGAGCCGAGTTACCCATCCACACTTTCTCACCACTTGATGACTCGAAAGTTGTGAATAACTCCCGGTTTGAGCAAATATGCCGGGTTGCACCAGTGTCCACGAACCACTCCTTGGAATTGGATCCAACGAGGTTGACCTCGGTCACCACAGCCGCAAGGATTATGTCGTCATCCTTTTGCCCACCTTGCACCAAGTTGACTTGAGAATCTCTCTTGTTCTTGGGTTCCTTGCAATCCGCGGACTTGTGTCCGTTTTTATTGCAATTGAAGCATTTTCCGTTGAACTTCGTCTTGGAAATGCCCCCCTTGGGACCGAGCTTGCTCTTCCCATTATTTTTATTTTTGGAGCCTTTAGCATGCTCCACCACGTTGGCCTTGGCGCTGGTAACGATTGGGAGTTTCCCATCGTTCTTCCGGTTATCCTCTTCAATCCGAAGACGGAGGATCAATTGCTCCAAGTTCATTTCCTTTCGCTTGTGCTTAAGGTAGTTCTTGAAATCCTTCCAAGCCGGCGGCAATAAATGGATAATTGACGCCACTTGGAAAGATTCACTAACTGTCATTCCTTCATCTCGAATTTCGTTGAAGATCATTTGAATCTCTTAACCTTGACTCAAGACCGTCTTCGAATCCACCATTTTAAAATCAAAGAATCGACCGACAACAAATTTCTTTGCGCCGGCATCCTCGCTTTTATAGTTGTGGTCCAAAGCATTCCATAGCTCCTTAGCCGTAGCTAATTTGTTATAGACGTCGTACAAAGCATCATGCAGCCCATTCAACACATAGTTTCGGCAGAGGAAGTCAGAATGCTTCCATGCCTCAACCACGTTGAGAGATTGCGCATCCGGCGCCTCCTCGGTCAAGAACCTAGCAAGATCGAGAGTAGTGAGGTAAAATAGCATCTTTTGTTGCCACCTCTTGAAGTTTAACCCATTAAATTTTTCGGGTTTCTCCACAGAGTTGCTTGGCACGGTAACCATAGGAATTGCCCCTAGGTGGCCCAAAGTAGATGCTCCGCGTTGTGAACCATTGTTCATCGGAGCTCCACTTTCAGAGTGATTATCGTTGGGCACGTTCTGCCCACCAACATTTCCAATTTCTTGAGAAGCCATTTTGACGTTTTCAACGTTTTCCGAAAACACAAAAAATAAGTTCGTTCACCAAAGTGACAAACTACGTTTTTAGATTGTTTACCGCAGTACAACAACCAAGAAAAATACATTTCAAGATTGTTTACCGGAGTAGAACAATCACCGAATACGTTTTAAGATTGTATCCGTATGATACAAGCTTATCCGAATACGTTTTAAGATTGTTGGGTGTGTCTCGGAAAAAACGAAGAAATAATTAATTAATAAACTAATTAATTAATAAATAAAATAGCCAAAGAAAATCAGAAATGAGATGAAACAGAGTTTAGCCAGAGCTCGTGCTACGCACGATGTCTTTAAAACGTATTCGTCGCCTCCCACGGTGCTAGGAGCGTTGCAACGACCGTTTCCCAGGATACGGTGGCTAACGAACTAACGTTTGAGCACACAAACAAAAGTTCCGGCGAACTGGAACAAAGGCAGAACACTTTGGAATTTTCGGAGTAGCTGGAGGTGTTTTAGAGCTCAAAAATACGTGAAGAATGTATTGTGCGTTGTTTTGTTGCAAACCACCTGCCAACCATTTATAGGAGGATTTGTTGTGTGTTAAATGAGGTGTTAATGGACCGGAACGTTGGACATCAATGACCAGTCAGTTGGGCATTGAATCGTCCATAAACTGTCCATTTAACGCAGCATTAAAAGATAAGAACGTTGGGCATTAACTTTCGTAATGGTAGAATTGCGCGACAGAAGACCCCCAACAGAACACCCCTGGGAGGGGTTCTGTCCGAAGCCAACAGAATAACCCCTGGAGGGGTTCTGTCCGAAGCCAACAGAACACCCCCTGGAGGGCTTCTGTTCGACGCCACCAGAAACCCTTGGGTTTTCCGGTGTGGGAAATAACACACTAGAAACTCATCCTTTTTCCCAGGTTTTCCATTCTAACGGGTAAACTTCGAAAATAAATTTCTCATTCACCCGTTATCCGTTTTGAGCGTACCACATATCGAATTGTAGCCCTTCACAAGGACAATCCGAAACCACTTTGACCCGATCCAAATCGGAAGAGGACCCCACTCAAATAATTGCCCCAAAATGACCATTTAATGCAATTTTCAACACATTTTTCCAACAAATCCATCTTTGGTGAATATTCCATGGAGGTTTGAGGGTAAGGAGTTCCTCCAGGAATTTCGCTGAATGGGTTCATCACATGTCTCTTTGAAAATAACGTGAAAGGTTAGTAGAGAAAAATCCTACGGAAAACTAAAACAAATCTAACAAAAAAAAATCTCGCTGGAATTAATTAACCCTTAAAACCGACACCGTCCCCGACAACGGCGCCAAAAACTGTTGTGAGTTTTCTCGCACTTAAAATAGATTGTAGTAAAGTGGTTGAAGTACGAGTATCGTCTCCACAGGGACGGACAAAAGGGAATCTAGGATTAACTAAATTCAGCAATTAAAAATAAATAAATAAAATGTGTCTTGCGAGATTGGTTGGTTGAATTGAAATTAAGCTAATGTGAATGATCAATTAAAAGTAAAGATTGGGTTCTCTCTAATTAACGACGAAGGGAACAGGGATTGATTCCGGGGTAATCAGATTTCTGGCAGATCATGCCTAATTACATGAATTTAATTTAATTTAGTCTAGCTAATCAATACTAAGTTCTTACCGCTCTCGCGGCGTAGAGTACAATAATTTATGGGACCAGGCTGATCTCTCATGCGACAGGATCCTATATTATTGCCAAGACGAGCGAGTTTACGGCCTTTTAATCGCTACTAATCTCTTAGCGAACGATTAAGTGTGTGTGAATGTGTCCTATAATAAACTAGATCTCTCTTAATTTATTCTACCAGCACTTGTAATTCTAGTGCGCGTTCTATGTTACAAGAGATATCAGTTAAATTATTCAAACACAAATTAAACGGCATTCATGCAATTAAACCAACAAGAAACTAGCCATACATCGTGATCAACCCCTTCATCAATCCCAAATCCCTAATTAAAACTACTCCCGACTCATAATTGAAGAATCAATAGAATTGGGAAGAATAGAAATAATTGTCATTAATCAAAAAGTAGAAACTTACAAAGAATGTTAAGGAATTGAAAAACCTGGCTAAGAACCTCTCTAAATTTCCTCCTTAATCTCTCTCTAAAGTTCCATCCCCCTTTAATTAGGGTTAGGGGGTGTTATTTATAAGAAACTAAGCAATTTGGGCTGAATTAGGACCTCCACACCCACGCTCGGCGTCCACGCTCGTCAAGCGTGGTGTCCGAGCGTCCGAAGCAAAACGCGTGCCACGGCACCACGCTCGGCGTGCGTCCCTGCACGCTCGGCGAGCGTGACTACAAACTTGCTCAAAAAAAACTTTCTGCCTCGCACGCACGGCGAGCGTGCCAGCCACGCTCGACGAGTGTCAAAATTCCGAATTTGATTTTCCTTCCTTCATGAAACTTGTAGATAATGAATTCCTCTATCCACCACAGCTTTCCGAAATGGACTTGAATCATCCAATCACGAGATATGAATAAAATGGTGGAATGTCTCATTCTGAAATCGCAACAGGGATCATCTGACTTCGTCGTCTGTTTTCACCTTCGTCTTTTACGATTCTCGGAATGATGTCTTCATATGATTTGTAGCCCTTTAAGTTAGCTTTCAGATTCAACTTGAATCGTGTCGTTTGGATTCTTCTACAAAGATATATGCTTGAACGATTGACAGAAGGGCATCCTGAACACCGTTTTCAAGCTTTCTTTGTTTTCTTTTGATCCCGTAGCCAATCCTGGAGCTCTTTTGTCATCAAATCTTCATTGTGAACCTCCCGGTGACCTCCAAACGTCTTGAATCAATCTTGAATGCTTCTCGAATCATCCCGTTTGCTCCTCAAGCGCCGGTGATGGGCTCAAATTCCCTGATTTTGACTCCAAAAGACATAAAACTCGAACCAACGCCTGGTAAACATCACTTGAGCTAAAATTGAGACTTGTGACACAAAATAATTAGGGAAACCATCAAAAGTCGATCCCAACACGCATCAAATGCGTGTCTAAATACAGATTTATCAGACTCGCAACACTTTAAAGCTAGGAAACCCATCAAAATCCAATCCCAACACGCATCAAATGAGTATCTAAATATGGACTTATCATTAGCCCAGCCCAAACAACCATAACCGAAAACCAGCCTGCCTTTATTAGCCTTCCCGCCCCTATTTATATCTTTAAGTACCCACATACTACTCTATTCACTCCCGCCCCCTTTTTCCTTTCCTTGCATACACTTTATTATAATACTCCACACCCCTTGACCTATCAGATTTTTCTATCAATTCTTGTTTCCTTGCACCTTCCAATATAATCTCTTTGTAAAATCTTACTAACTTGATCCTTTGGTGATGTTGAGTAATTCTTGCTCATATTAATCTAAACTAAATAATTAACTTAAAATGGGAGAATAAATGATTTGCGTTGTAAATGCGCAATTACTACAACAATACACAGTAAAAACTAATTAAAAGTAACAACATACATAATGGAAATTAAAATACAGATTATCAATCATCGAGGTCCCAAACTACAAGAACGAAAAGCAAAGGAATGTGCTTTCCCATTTCTTCTTCTCATCCAACCTGATCAATAATTGCACCAAATCATACATAGCACAAATCAGAACGAACAAGTTTGTTAATTAGTTACCCATAAAATGATAGATATGGTAGTATCCATGGGCCTTCAATTCATTTTGGAAAGGACAATCTCTTTTATAGCCTATGCGAAAACCTCTTCATTGGTAATTGGTTACTTGTTGGAGGTCTTCTAGTAGTTAGGAACGGTAGAAGTCTAGAAGACAAGAGGATGTAATAAGAATTGAATTAAAGGAATGAACCATGCCTTTATTTGTAGTGTTAGAAGTATTTATCCAATGTTTGTGAGATAACAATTAGCTAAAAATGAGAGAATTGAATATTATCAAATGTCTAAAATGCCCCTAAAATTTACCTCCTCTTGCCTCTTGTTCTACGCATTGATCTAACGAGCACTCATTAGAAGAGTGCCCCTCTCATCTTCTACAACCATGGATGTGAAGTGAACTATCAGCAGCCATCGATCTCCAATGCCCGAACCACCTCCATCGCAATCACGCCTCATTGCGCATCGTGCAATGGGCGATTGCGAGCAAATATATCTCTCAGTCTATGGCAAGGGACGACCAATCCTGGAAAAGACATCATGGCTATTGTTAGTGACGACGAGAGTCCTGTGAGGGAGACGAGACTCTGAAAATGAGTGTGAGACTAACGACAATAACATATCCAAATTCGGCGATGACGATTTTGTTTTACTGTCCTATATCTTCTTCTTCTCTGATTTGAATCACATTCTTTACGATCGATTAGGGTTAATCCAGTAGCTCAAGAACATGAGAAGTTTGGACGACGTTTCTATGAATTATGCCTTCACCGACATTTTAAATTTTGCGGCAGGTATGGTTAGTTACATCTTCGCGGTGGCAGCATTAACTTTTTTAGATATGTGATCGCGATGGATAGGGTGATAGGTTGGTGGGGTGGTGTAGGGGGCGACAGTGGCCAAGACAGAGCGGCTTCAGTGCATGTGGCCATGATAGGGGTGCCAGCGGAGTCTGGGTCATGATAGTGTCACTGGCGGTCCAAGTGTAATTGTAACGGGGGGCAGGGCGACAATCGAGTCAGGGGTGGTGACATGTGACGGGGGTGGGGAGTGGTGTAGTTACTATCTCTCTCATTGTCTAGAAGTTCTGAGCACTATCAATAGCAAAGTCTCTATAACTGCCCAGGTTGTCACTGACGGCTAGGAATGTTAACGAAGCGAGCTTTTATCGAACTATTCGAGTTCGAGCTCGGTTTTGAACCTAACGAGCCGAGCATAGTGAGCTTTCAAACACGAACCTTAGCTGAATTCTATGTTCGAAAAATTAAACGAACTGAGCTCGAACATAGTAGTAGTATTCGGCTCGGTTCGAACTCGAGCTTATCGAACACCCTGAAATTATAAATCTAATTTATATATGTCAAAATTTAAATATAATTAGTATTATTTTATGAATTTAAATATGATTATTAAAGATTCAAATACTTGTTGAATCATTCGAGCACGAGCCTACTAACGAGCATCACCTAAAATTATAAATTCGAGCATATTTATCGAGCTTGTTGAGTGCTCAGTTCGAACATCGAACGCCTATCGAGCCGAACATGAGCCTCATTTGTAAAGCTCGCCGAGCTTCGAGATCGAACCCGTACACCACTAATTCCTTATCGAGCCGAACTCGAGCTTTGGTTGTTCGTGCTCGGCTCGTTAACAGCCCTACTGACGACAATGGTCACTATTCGACGGCGGTGATCACTCTCTGACAGTTGGTTACTGGGGCATTTCTCTATGGTCATTGGGTGGTAGTCACTATAGTTTGAAGAGTATAAAAGTCACCTTAGTCTTTTTTCAGAAACTTCTAATTAGTTAGACCCAATTGAGACCTTAAATTTATAAATCAATTAGCAAGATAGGCTCCATATTTGATCTGTTATGTCCTGTAATTGCACTTAGTTGCATTCTAAAATCTATTTTTGGGATATATTATCCCAGTCCACTACTGTTCAGGAGCCCAACGCAGTACCCCCACACAGATCCTAAATTGTGAGGTCCATTTAGGCTCGTAGGGCCCGTTTTGACCCATTTGGTTCATTAGGATAGATTATCCCCCTTTCCACATTCTCTATAAATAGAAAGCTTTCCATCATACTTGAGGTGTTGGAAAAGAAAATAAAGATTGACGGGATCAGGTCAACATCATTTCCCAAATTAGAAGATACTGAAACATAAAGGGACGAGTGAAGTAAGGACCAAGCAAAGGAATTCCAGCCAATAACTTTATTAGTTTCCATATTTAGCTCATAGTCTTTCCTGTATAAATAGGGCCATTGTACCATCATTGAAAGACAATTCAATATATACGATTCATTTACCTACATGGTATCAAAGCTTATGGTTCTGGTCTCATCATCTACCCACTAGAACAAAAACTGTTAACGAATCCAAGCCACCATGGCAGATGGTAACGGCGGCTCGGGATTGGAGATTGTAACACAATTAGCCAATCTGTTGCAACAGAATATCAACCCACAATCGTCAAATCCCAAACTTTCCGATAGCCTTCAAATAAACATCAAATTAAACAGCCAAAACTACGCTCTATGGACTCGGATGATCTGAGTTGCCATAGGCGGAAAATCAAAAAACTTGTTGAAACATCTTACCGAAGCACCACCAGAAAAAGCCACAACAGAAAAATATGAGACATGGGAACAAGAAGACCTGATTGTCTCCTCATGGCTCATCCAGAACATCGAGCCCAACATAGCCGGCAACCTGACCGAGTACCCCACTGTGAAAGCATTGTGGGATGCCCTGGTGGTCACATACAGCAGCGGCAAGGACAAACTTCAAACTTTTAACCTCCACGTCAAAGCCAATGAGATCCGGCAGAACGATAAGTCCCTCGAGGAGTTTTGGATCGAACTCCAAGGTGTATGGGGCGAAATTGACCGGATAGATCTGAACCCGATGAAGTGCAAAGATGATATTCAGGCCTATACCCAAATACGATCGGAACAAAAACTGTTCCAATTCTTAAATGGGATTGATCGAAAATTCGAACCAATCAAAAGAGAGGCTCCCCGGATCGACCCGCTGCCCACTGCCGAAGCCGCATACGCCATGGTACGCAAAGAAGCCGCTCACCAAGTAATCTTGGGAGCAACTCATAGCGAAACCCATGGGGTGGCTACCGGATTGGTTGCCGGAGAAACTGATGGCGCTGGACTAGCAACCAAAAGCTTCCGCAAGTTCGATGGTAAAAAGAAAGCAACCACAAGAGAGGATAAATCTCACCTCAAATGCGAGGAGTGCAGCATGAGCCGACACACCAAGGATCAATGTTTCGAGATTATCGGATATCCCGAATGGTGGACTGATGGGCATAAAACCGCAAGCAAAAAAGGTGCCAAGAAAGATAAGCCCTCCCTCTCTCCTACCACTCGACGATCGGAAGGTGGCTTTGGGGGTATAGCAGCGGCGGCGGCCGGAGAGAAAGGGGGAGGATTTCACGGTGGAAGGTAAAGGGGAGGAATGGGTCAAACCCTTCGAATCCCCCATTTTTTCTTTTGATTGTGTTCCAAATGCAATAGCTCACATGGCCCAAACCAACCTCACAAATTCCCATGGCCCATGGATTTTTGACTGTGGGGCCACCGATACATTGTCATATGATTATTCTGATTTTTCCGAAACAACCAAACCCACAAAAACTCACACCCAAGTTGCAAATCGGGAAAAATTAGATGTCAAAACTGGAGGGACAATTAAAATTTCCCCAAACATAAAACTTCGCAATTGCCTCTACGTTCCATCTCTGTCACACAAACTTTTGTCAATTAGCCATGTGACAAAAGAACTTAATTGTTCTGTTCTAATGCACCCAACCTTCTGTCTCTTACAAGATATCAGGACGGGACGGATTATTGGGCGTGGCACTGAGGAAAATGGATTATACTACGTTGATGAGGTGGTTCAAGATGGTACTGTGATGCTGGCTCATGGGACTACTGAAAGAGAAGCATGGATGTGGCATCGAAGATTGGGACATCCCTCTGTTAGTTACTTACATACTTTATTTCCGAAGTTATTTCCTTTGAATAAACCAAGTACTTGTGAAACATGCATTTTAGCAAAAAGCCATAGACAACAATTTAAACCCAGTAATACTAGGGTCGAAACCCCGTTTTCTTTGGTTCATTCTGATGTGTGGGGTCCTGCCCCTGTGATCGGAGGTCAAAACCTCCGATATTATGTAATCTTTGTTGATGACTGTACTCGCATGACTTGGATCTATTTTCTGAAAAGTAAAGATGAAGTATGTGATAAATTCACCAGTTTTTATGCCATGATTCAAAACCAGTTCAAAACATCCATTCAAATTTTTCGATCTGATAATGGTGGAGAATTCGTGAACTCACAAATGAAACTCTTTTTTCAATCCAAAGGAATAATCCATCAAACCTCGTGTCCCCATAACCCCGAACAAAATGGTGTTGCAGAACGGAAAAATCGACTCCTTTTAGAAATGACGAGAGCACTCATAATTGAGTCACATGTTCCCAAATATTTCTGGCTTGAAGCTCTTGCCACCTCTACCTATCTGATCAATCGCCTTCTAACCAAAATTCTGAAAATAAAAACCCCATTAGAAACACTTTCTGAACACACCACAATCCCTCAACCTCTCACACTTCAACCAAAAGTTTTTGGGTGCACTGTTTACGTCCACGTTCCCAAGACTCACAGAGACAAACTTGATCCATGTGCTGAAAAATGTGTCTTTGTGGGGTATGGGGTAAATAAAAAAGGATACAGGTGCTATGACCCACAAACACGCCGCATGTTCACCTCCATGAACTGTGATTTTCTTGAAACAAAGTACTACTACTCAGCCCAACACATGGGTCAGGGGGAGGAACAAAGAGACACCCTGAGTTGGTTGAGTCATTCTGCTCCTATTGAAGATGATGTCCAAAATCACAGTGTTGAAGATGATGTCCAAAATCACAGTACCACATCAGCTGAAGCTCCAAAAGCAGATGATACCAGTGCCACCCCTGAGAATCCTCCTCCTGAAATGATATCTGAGGTAAGTAATTCTCAACCAAACAATTCGAATGAAAATCCTCAATCATCAGAAAACTTGGATAGAAATAATGCAGATGATATCCAAGATACTACTTCCGAAAGTGTGCAGGAACATGAAGAGGATACAACACAAGGAGTACGAGTTCTTCCAGCAAGATCAACCAGGGGAATTCCAGCGAAACGATACTCTCCAGAAAAGATCACCAAAGGAGCCAAGTACCCGATGGCCAGCATAGCAGAGGGAAACCTGTCAGAAAATGCAAAGGCTTTTACTGCAAGCCTGTATTCAGAGGAAATTCCTTCAAGCATGGAACAAGCCTTAAACTCTGTAAAATGGAAAAAAGCTATGGATGATGAGATGGAGGCACTAAAGAAGAGTGAAACATGGGACAAGTGTAATATGCCCCAAGGGAAAAAGGCAGTAAGATGTCGGTGGGTCTTCACAGTAAAATACAAACCATATGGGGCAGTTGAACGATATAAAGCACGCTTAGTCGCAAAGGGATACACTCAGACCTATGGGATTGATTACTCAGAAACCTTTTCTCCAGTAGCAAAAATGGACACAGTGCGAGTTCTTCTGTCCGTAGCATCTAACCAAGGTTGGCCACTTCACCAGTTTGATGTAAAAAATGCAATCCTACACGGAGAATTAAAAGAAGAAGTGTACATGGAAGCTCCTTCTGGTTTCCCAGAACAGTTCAAACCTGGAGAAGTATGTCGATTGAAGAAATCTCTGTATGGGCTCAAACAGTCTCCAAGAGCCTGATTTGGTAGATTCACAATGGCGATGAAGAAGTATGGCTTCAAACAAAGCAACTCAGATCATACTCTGTTCCTTAAAAGGAGGAAAAATCTCGTAACCTTTTTAATCATTTATGTTGACGATATGGTGATCACTGGGAATGATGAAGAAGAAATAAAAAGACTAAGAGACGAGTTGTTTAAAGAATTTGAGATGAAAGATCTGGGGAACCTGAAATATTTCCTTGGAATTGAAGTCCTAAGATCACAAAAAGGAATATTCATCTGTCAGAAAAAGTATATACTAGATCTCCTAGCAGAAGTAGGAATGGTCAATTGCAAACCAGATGACACACCGATGATGGCAAACCAAAAGCTGTTTATGGAAGAAAACGTTGAACTAGCTGATAAAACCAGGTATCAAAGGTTAGTGGGAAAACTGATATATTTGTCACACACTCGTCCAGACATTGCATATGCTGTTGGGGTAGTAAGTCAGTTCATGCACCAACCCCAGGCTGCCCACATGGATGCAGTTATAAGAATTATCAGTTATCTCAAAGGCACCGCAGGTCATGGAGTACTGTTCGGATCAAACGGACATTTAGACATTCAGATTTACACAGATGCTGACTGGGTTGGAGACAAAGGGAAAAGAAGATCGACATCAGGATACTTCTCTCTCGTAGGAGGAAACCTTGTTACATGGAGAAGTAAGAAACAAAAGGTGGTTGCACTATCAAGCGTTGAAGCTGAGTTCAGAGGTATAGCCAATGGAATAGCAGAAGCATTTTGGATAAGGAAGCTTGTTTCTGAAATTGGTTTTTCTCCACACAAAAGCACTCAGATTATGTGTGACAACGAAGCTGCAATCCAGATCTCCGAAAATCCCGTACAACATGACTGAACAAAACATGTGGAAGTTGATCGACACTTCATCAAAGAAAAACTAGAAGCCGGAATCATCGAACTACCGTTTGTGAGATCCACAGACCAACTGGCTGATATGCTGACAAAGGCCGTAGGAACTGAGATCTTTTACAAGTGCCTTGGCAAGTTGAATTTCGGAAATCCCACTATTCAACTTGAGGGGGAGTGTTGGAAAAGAAAATAAAGTTTGACGGGATCAGGTCAACATCATTTCCCGAATTAGAAGATACCGAAACATAAAGGGACGAGTGAAGTAAGGACCAAGCAAAGGAATTCCAGCCAATAACTTTATTAGTTTCCATATTTAGCTCATAGTCTTTCCTGTATAAATAGGGCCATTGTACCATCATTGAAAGACAATTCAATATATACGATTCATTTACCTACATGAGGGGGGCTTCTTCTTCTCCGCTTCCCTCCTCCTCTCTAGGTAACTTAGCACTCCATTAATGGGAGCTCAATACTTGTACATTGTAAATTAATGGTGAGGAAAACCTAATGAGAATGAAAGTGTCTTGGACATTAGCCCGAAAAGTGTCGTGGTTTTCACTCTTTTGGGTTTCCACGTTAAACGTTTATTTCTAAATTTTATAAATTTATTACTGTTTCGTGTTGAATTTATCTCAATATATACTAATTGATGTTATTTAAAATGTTCTTTAGTTAACATTAATTAATTATCTAGAGCTTAAGTAGAAATCATCAATCGATCCATTAGTCTATATTAATGACCTAAGGTATACCTAAGTATAGACCTGGGTATCTGCTCCAAGTTCTAGATAAGAGTCGCCTTGAGGGGGGACAAAATGCCTTCAATGGTTGTTGTGCAGGAAACCTCGACCACGATATATATAAATGGAAGAGTTGTTTCCAAAAATTGCAGGGGAGAGCCTCTCATCCATGAGCGAGTGACGGACTAGACGTGGAGAGGCTTTCTTTCTGATGTTATCAAAGAGGTCGTGGACTACTATTGGAGGTGCACCTCTTCCGGATACGAGATTTGAGCGAAGAGGTTTCCAAGGTTGTCAATGAGGTGTCATCTGGAGAGCCCCTCGTCCATTGGTGAGGCTTACTTAAAGTTCCCAAATTTTAAAAATGACATAAAGAACAATAATATATCTCAAAGTCAAATTGTATGCATCAAATGAAGATTATAATAATATGGAATTTACCACATCAATGTTAAAAAAGACCAATATTTATGAATATATGTGATTGATTGCCATAAGAGGCATAACTGCAAATATATGTTGTTAATAATCACACATGACAAGACATAGAACTATAAACCTACGCGTTGTACACTTTTTTCTCTGAATGTTACCCGAGTTATAATCCATCCACAACGGGAAACAATAGAAATATATTGTAGTCAACATATTATAGAAGCATGATGGAAAATATACACATATAATATATGTGGAGCTTAATCGGAAGGGCGGAGTGCATGCGGAGAGACCATATTACACATCAAATGAATCAATTGCCATAATGGTGCTCAAGTTCATCGGTATCATGTATTTATCTGTGCCTGTCAAAATACCCCGCACAATGATCGCATTTGCCTTCTCTGATGGATGAAAGGCATCCCAAAATGCATAAGCATCTCTATCTGAGCATAAATTTGAAGCAACTGTACAAAGTCCAATCCCATTAAATGGGCCTTGTCCACAACATGCTATCTTTGATGTTGTAAAACCTATATCCAACAAAACCATCATTAGAATAAAAGAACAAGTATTTGATGATTTGGACTAAAGTTTACTAGCTAGTTTGATTAGAATGTTCCCAAAGGATATATTTCCTCTAGTCATATGGTTTGAACTTGATTGCTAAGTGAGGTTTGGACTGTTATGATTTGGTGATTGTTAAATATTATGCACTTTCTTTTATCATCATAGTCTTATTTAATTCTGTTTGACCTTAGTTCTCATTTCAATACTTTTTTTATCCTCTGTTGAATTTGGTTTAATACAAGTTTTTGAATTTTATGCTTGATGGGTGAGTTAACTCAAATACTCAATGCCACAGTATCCAAAACACTATACTAACTTTTTACTTCTTTTATCAAGTTGACCGTGATGATATACATACCATAAGCTTGAGGATTGTGGATGAAGTCGTTCTGCATTTGAACTGCATTGACTGCGACGAAGACGGTGGAGCCGAGGTCTTGATTGATACTTTGAATCATTTCGATGAGAAGGGGGTTAAAAATTGCGGCGGATTCTTGGAGTTCATCTGAACACTCACCATTCCTCCCTCTCTGGGCTAGCTCCGCTGGGACACAACCCAACGGGCCTGTACCTGTCACCAATACTCGTCTTGCTCCCAAATCGTATAGCCTCTGACCATATGATGAGAATTAAACAAGTTATTTTAAATGCACCCCGTTAGTAAAGTGTTGAGAATAATACTGAGTAATATTTGGACGTCGTTTTTGTATTAGCCTTTGTATTGAACTGATTTGTATCTTTAATTCTTCCACTAACTTGATCACCCTTAATTACGAGCTTATAAATTACAAGAGTATATTTTGTTGTTCCAAAAGGTGGAATCTCCCACCCCATGAGTCCCCCACAACCCGACCCAACAGGATTTTTGGGAGGATATAAGTCACGGTGATTCAGTCGGCCCAATGACGGTAGGCCTTATACCGTGCGCACCAGAGGTCTAGCCAGCACGCAGGAGCTATAACTCCACACAGCCGTTGCGGATTTCAAACTTTAGTCATTGTTCCAAATTTCCCACTACTAAACCAACTGAGCTACCCATGCGAGTTACTAGAGTATATTTTATTACTACAGAGTAGTACTATAAGAAAATGTACCAATAAGATTTTTCGGTATTCGGAGATGAGGTAACGACAATAGTTTGGAATAGTGAACTGGAGTCTTCGGGCGCTAACGGGGACCAAGAAGTAGTTGTTGACGAAGTCATTACCGCCAAGAGTGATGAGGACGAGTGCTTTGTTCACGCGACTTTGTGCCTGTTCCGTCCCTATTAAATTGCTCAATCGTTGTTGATATTGCTCAAAATAATGAATTTGCTGCGCTATCCTTATTATGTTTACCTGACAATCAAATAGGTATACATGTATCTTAACTATTTATTATTTAACTCGCAAAAGAACAAACTTAGAATTGTCTGTAATTTGTCACAAGTTGAAATGTTTACTAGCTAAGGTCAATCGGGTAAATAATGAGCAAGATGAATATCTTATCACATACTTGTAAATGGACAACAACATCTAATTGTATATTTTCTAAATGAACAAACACAATTTAGAGACTCAAAACACAAAATGAAACACATGGTTGAGAATAACATGCATACGCCTAATAAGGATATGAATCATCTAGTCGTTGGGATCACATAAGAATGTATAAGGAATTTACGTTTCATTATTTGATAGGCAAATATAAATTTGTTGAAGTATCACACCGAAAAATTGTCAAGTAATAAAGTGTTATATTAAGATCTGGGTTACTCCTCATATCAGGTGAACTTTTTAAGTGGAACATTAAATTATAACAAAATAATTAGAGATACTTATTAAGAAAATTGATTTGATTTGGGTTTCAATGATATGAAAATACATTATATAAGGATATTTCTAATTACAAAAGAATTTTCTAGTCCGTTTGGTTTAATAATTGTTGTATACTATCGTTCAAGTGTAATGCTATGTGTTCTACTTGATTTAGCATGAGAAGTTCCACATTGTTACAAGTGATAAGATTTGATCTACAATCATAATATCCCAATTTAAATTATCCCAATTTAAATGAGCTACATAAAGGATTATTATACACAGGAATATAATTGGATAATACATTAATAATAAATAATAATATAGATATTATATTCTATCACTACCCTCACTCAAATTGAGTACAATTTAAAACCGTTCGCCATTTGTGCAATAATCAGGTGTTGACCTGGTCAATTCATTTAATATATGATCACATTTTCATGAATGGTTAAAACTTGAGTGCTCCCTGGCCTTTGATTCTTTGAGTACTCAAGCTTTTTATTCTGAGTCCTTCAAATTTCATTTAAAAAGAATAAGAGTGATATTATAAAATTATAAAACTGAATGAATGATTGTAAATGTCACCCCTGAATTATGCAAATTCCTGTAAATGTGGTTCTTTGAGAGATGAAATGTACTCCTCGGCTCCTCACCCACTTTGAACATTTCACCGCTTAAAGGATCACATTTACACCAATTTGAACAACTAAGAGATGACATTTACAAACTCAGAAATGGTGATTTAACATTTCAGGTGATTATTTCAGATTAAAAATGCATTTTCACCATTTTATTTACTTACAAATTGGATGCCGGTGTCGTTGAGAATTCCGATACCAGCAGAAGCAAAATTTGCACCAACCAATAACTTTTCGCCAGTTAGTGCTGGGTCCAAGTAAGCCAAAGTCGGCTCCGAACCTATAGCTTCGCCTGCATAAGATATTGTCCACAAAAACGATGAACGAAATGAATATTTTAATTGAACTAGAGTTTTATTGTCTTTTTAAATGTGTTTTTATCCCATAGATATCTATTTTATTTGTATTTTACATTGTGATTTTTGCACTATTCACATACCTTACTTTGACTACAATTTTCTACTAATATACATAATCAAATTACTCCCTCCGTCTCGCTAACAATGTGACAAGAGGGAGTGACACGCAAATTAATAAAAAGTGGTTTATGTGGTTGATATTGAATTGATAAAGTAAGAATGATTTAGAACCATACAAACTTCACCAAATTTGTATGAGACAATCTTAGTGGGACGGATCGATAATGTAAAATGGGACAATCATAGCGGGACGGAGGTAGTATTACGTATAAAACGTTATTAAATTACTATCAATGTGAATTTCCAAAATATCAAATTTTTATAATATCTACTAATACATAATTCAATATAATTACAGTCAAAGTTGTGCGTTGAAAAACGTGAAAGTCAAACTGTTGTCTAAGTATGATCCCAATTATCTGCACAACTACATAGATCCGAAATGGTTAAATAGGATTAGATAACTTAATAGGATTAGATAACTTTTTGACTTATTGGATTCTATAAAAAGAATGAAATTATTTTTTTTATGAAAGGAGAATAAAATTATAAAAAGTTCCCTAATACAAAAACTTAAATCCTATAATTTGGATAGAAAACAATGAAACTTAACTCCTACTCCGTATATTTTTTATAGGGATTTTCTCTTTATATTAACCAGTTGTATTTTTAAGAACGAACATGAATTTTGGCAATACTTGAAATGTACAATATATTAACTATTCATGTATTAAATTGGGTGTAAAGAATACAAAATTTATATTAAATTGTTTGTTGTGAGACAAAATTTATACATTAATATTTAAAAAAATATTATATATATATATATGTATATATGTGTGTATGTATGTGTGTGTATTTATATGTGTGTGTATTATAGAGAATCAGTTTGTAACCTCTGTTTTCAATCAACTTTTTTATCAATGATGTAATAATTTGACGTGTTGAATTGTTTAATAATATAAATAAGTAAAGTTAAAGTTAAAGTAGTTGAAATTACTATAGAGGACGAGTTAAGCTACTCCCTCTATCCTGAAAAGATTGGTCAAAGTTGACTTTCACGTGGATTAATAAAGTAAAAATTGAGTGGTTGAAATTTGTGTAGATGAGATAGAATTAATTTTAACCACATATTTCTTACTTTAAATGGAAATGACAAATCTTTTTGGGACATCCAAAAAAGGAAATTTGGTCAACCTTTTCAGGATGGGGGAGTATTTTTTATATAATTTTTTCCTTAATTTTATTAATAAAATATATTATAAATATAATTTTTTTCACAATTCAGCCGATTTTATCCATTCAACAATTTCAACTAGAATTTCATTAATTTCTGCACATTTTGACAATACAGCCATCGACAGATGTTGCGTAATGGGCTTCGAATAGAATGGAACTCCAACAATATGTCGAGTACAATATCTACTAGAATGCTCATTGGTCCAATTTATCCATTCAACAATTTCAACTAGAATGCTTATTTTAGAATTTCAAAACACTTTTGCTTCTGACAATTTCTATATTAAATACAGTAATTGGTATATACAGAGTATTTCATAGTTACGTTATTGCTCGACACGTGGAATGAAAGTACTTACTGATAAAGTCAGGGATATTGCGGCCGTTGGAAAAGCGGCCGGTGGGACGGTGAGTGGGATAGTCAATGCCGTAGGGCGGAGAGTCAGCCCTGGCGGAGGTCGCCAGGTAGTTGTTGTTCCCATTGTCCACCAGCGAGTCGCCAAACACAAAGAAGGCCCGAGCAGCCTCCGCCCCTGGCGCAGCTACGGCGGCCACCACCGCCGCAGCAATGACCATGGCGGCTAACGAGGAGCCGTTCAGCCGGACGTCGCCGTGACGGTTACTTTTATCAAGCATTATTGTGTATGGGTTAGTTTGAGAGGAAAAGAATTGACGGAGGGGTATATATAGATAGAGAGTAAATATGTGTAGCTTAGGAAGAAATAAATGGGCGGCTTGCACCGCCACTTATCGATGATGTACACTGTACTTGATTTGCCTTTCAACTGCATTTACCTGCATTCTTAAATCTCTACTAATTGAATTGCTACCTCTTAATTAGAACGTTCTTTACTTAAATTTCGTTAAGTATGCAGACTTATGTATAGTAGGAATGATCAATAGATGCATTCGTCTTTAAATTTATTAATGACCTGAGGTATTTGGGTAACAAAGTTTAATATTATTGACTATGAAAGTTAAAGATGAATAAACTTTAAACAGAGGGAGTATAGATCAATGTGCATGTGTGCGGTTCAGATAAATCAAATTTTAATTAAAGATCCTAGTTTGTGATTTCACTTTATCATTACATATTTTATATTTTAGTAAAAATGATTATAACGATTCAGATATTCTTTTGGGAGGAAATTGCTCATCCTATTGACTAAAATATACCGAGAATAGTATCTTCCAAAAATAAGACCACATGTTTTATTTTCCTTAAACATGACTAAATATTACATTTTCACACTTAGTATAACTAATAAACATAATTAATTGTTTCCCTAGTTCTTTTGTATAACTAAGATCAGTTCGTGGGTGGTGGCACCCCACAGCAACATTCGGGCAGTACGTAAAGCTAGCGGTGGTGGCGACCGGTGGAAAATTCTCCTGCAACCGGCGGCCTAGTGGCAACCGTGCTTGTTGGAAAGTATTGTTTTGTTGATGACAAACAACTAGTGTTACTTGTGTTGTATAAAGTGATTGCAGGAAAAGAGTTTAAGTCAAGTTCTGGAACAAACCGTAGACCCGATCCTAGAACTGCCCTGTGAATCCAAGATTGATTGATGTGGTTTACTTAAAATATCTTTTTTCTACATCCAATTTCGATTTTGTCTTGCTAAATTAAAGACAATTTTATGTAAGGAAATAGTTAATGATTATGTAAAGAAAGGTTTTTTTATTCAAAGGAAAGTTATTTAAATCAAATGCATTAATTAAGAGATCTTTCCACAAAGCAAGTTTCCAAAATAAAAGGAATTATTCAAAATTTAAATTAGATTTTCATGCATCTCCTCTCAAGGAATGTTTCCTTAAGAAAAATATTTTTCTTCACACAAATATAATGACTATCTTTTAATACCTATAAGTAATTATTTTTGAATAATTTCCACGCAAGAGGATCGAAATATATATGGAGATTCGAGCTATTAAGGATAGTACATCAAGTCATAATCTTGCACATTTAAGAAGACCGAGATCAAGTCATAAAGTATATGGGAAAAAAGTAAGAATGAATTATAGTCACACAAATATTATTAAATATGGTATGCGACACTAATATGAGGACATCCAAAACTGAAAAATTGAGACAATTATAGAGGGACACAGGGAGTAAATAATAATAATAACTTAAAAGGCACGAGAATATTTTTGTCAATTTAGGTGAAAACACTTCGATGTAAGATTATGTTTAACACTTACACTTACCTTCCTTTCCAGGCTCCTGACAACATTTATTAACACTTCCATTACTAACACCTCTCAATACTCCATCTAAACAATCCCTAATATATTTGTCATATTTATGAGATTTTAAATATTCTATCTTATTTTAAGAAAATGATTTTTTTTATGTTATGTGTGGAAACTCCCAACTCCCAAGAGTGTATTTCCCACCTATCAAAAGCCTGTCGCGCGGCCAGCTGAAGACCACAACGATGTTCGTGGAAAGTTTATTTACGTGACTTCACTCCTTACGTACGTAACAATAATTCATTATACTGTATCATGTTAGGTCTTCAATCGTGAGAAACAAAGCATTATGGGTATATAGACATTACAAATTTACAATCACCAAATCTCCACGAGCGAAAAATAACAATTTTGTAATCAAAATTTGGGGTTAAAAAATCTTTATTAAATTTGGGTAGTGCTCGCCGCCTAGATACACTAATTGCCCACAAGGTTCAATTCACTCATGATATGGTGCCTAATTAGGAGAAAATTACCAGGTCAGGATTGGACACCACTCGAGGTGAAACCCCAACTTTAATAGATTAAACACTGGTTAATTAATATCCACCTAATTGAATGAAGTAGAAAAGTTAAATCTAAGAAAATAGTTGAAGTATTTGTTCCATATATACCAACTAATATAAATAAATTGAGTACATAACATTTTGGGACTATAAAATCTAGTTTATTGGATTTCAATTAGAGTTAGGGATTTGGATCCTCGATCGCACGATGAAGGTGCCTTGCGCAATCCAACGGCAATAGGAGGAGGAGAGATCTTGGCTGCCAAAATTGGGTGGTAATAACCACACACCCTACCTGATTGCCAAAGTCCGGTGGATATCTAGATCCTAGAGTTACCGTTGATCTTATACACTCCATTTTACACATGGAAAAGATACTTCAAAGTTGATGTTTGACCATTACTCCCTATTATCTAACAAACCGAGTTGAGGATGACTGGTGACCATTAGAATTGTTATTATAAAATTATAATCATACCCCAAGAAAAGTAAATATGATAGAGTAACTTAGTAACTTCACAAATTTACTTGGACCGTAATTTGGATCATATTAAACTGTGAACATGTGACCTTGTTTAAGAAAATGAATACGGATAGTTTAATTACATGTATACAAATTACCCAAAGTAATTTGCCCGTGTGGTCTGGGCTGGTCTGGGTTGTTTAAGTCTCGCATGGTCTAGTTTGATCTGAACTTGTTTGGTCTGGTAAACATCAGATCTCTGTGTATTTTATAACTACGGAAGTCAAGTCTGGTTTGGTTTGTTTAAGTCTGGTCTGGTCGGTTTAAGTCTGGTCTATTTTAGCCTGGTCTATTTGATTTGGTATGTTTAAATCTGGTTTGGTCTTGTTTGGAAATAAAAATATCATTAATAACATTACCAAAGTACATTTTTGTTGTTCGGATATACTACGATGCCGATGAAATAACCCCATTTATGTTTCACAAATGGTAAAGGTACCCCATTTTTACCTCACCCTTAATGTGTGGTCATAAATGAGGCAATTCATTTAAATGAAGTACTATTTAAATGAATTGCCCCATTTATGACCACACAATAGGGAGTGGGGTAAAAATTGGCTACATTTTGGAGTACTCCTATCAAAACTTTTATGTTTTGGAGATAGTGGAATAGCTAATTATTTACTCGGTATTAATTAAATTCTTGTTTTCGCGGCCATTTAATTCCCATGTGCCCAACTTTGTTGTAACCAACATTTTTGGAAGGGGGCGGTGGGAGGCATATTGTACAAACAACCTTAGATAGAATGGAATAATACTTCATACCTAATGTACGTATGTTGCTCTTGAATAGAAGCAATATACTACAATATATTGCTTTTCTACAATATGGACAATTTTGGAAGGGGCGGTGGGAGTATGTTATATGGACAATTTTTCTACAATATATTATCCCGGTTTCTTTTCAGTCACAACATTGACTATTTGACATTATTCACGTGCTCTACGAATTTTATTTATTAATATATGAGAATAATGTTTATAAAAAATGTTGAACTCATCTCAGCTCATTACGAATTTTCATAATCTTGTTTTTAATTTTTTTATGAATAGAAAATAACATATAATGAAAGTCAAGTTGTGTATTAACAAACATAAAAATGAAAAATATTGCAACTAAAAAATAACGGATGAAGTATATATGTGTACTTAAACAATATTCAAGTCCAATATTGTGTGATATTACTCTTTAAATCTATTCTGATCTTTTATATATGGTTTGTGTTGTGTGATCTGTTTTAGTCAAGTCTAGTCTTATTTAGTGAATATGGTTTCTTCATAAAAAAATTGAAGTAAACAATTCCTTATAAATCTGAAAATAATGGTAAAAAGACTTTTATGTTGGTGTGTGTGACTTTTATTCCGTGCACAAGAATCTTCAGTGTTCTTAGCTCATTTTTGTTGGTGTGAGTTGACTTTTATGTCCACGGTTTAAAAAATATATACTCCGTATACATGTTCCTTCAAATATTTAAACTAGAATATCAACTAAAAGCGTAAACCAAAATTTGCACGCAAATAATAAGAATGCTTAGTAAATTAATACTCTCTCTGTATCTAATTAGATGACCCATTTGTTTTTCACGAAGTTTAAGATATTACTGTAGACTTTATAAAAAATAAAATGTTTTTGGTACTGTAGTGATATTATAGATGCTTTTTGAGTGAGATTCTTTCCTAAAAAGAAAAGGAGATAATTAATTTTGTTGGTAGAAAATATCCCGGGTAGAGAAACTAGCAACATTTCAGTATAGTAAAATAGCGTAGCGAATACATGGGGGTTTGATGGCCTATTTATAGGAATCCATCATAAGTCCAAACTCTAATCTACGTGGGTTTGGCCCATATTAATAATACATCTCCCAGCTAATGGGCGAACCGGCCCGATAAATAAGTAAATGAGCAAGGGGTGACGTCCTGGGCCTAGTTGGGCCTAAGCTCGGGGATAACGGGCCGATGGCACTGGGCCTGTCCCATTATCCCAACACGAGTCCCCCACTCCCTTAGTCGAGTAGTAGACTCGGCTAAAAGGGAATAGTTGAGCTGCTTTGAAGTCGGCCCGGTTGCCAGGCTAGCTAGCTAGTTACAAAAATGTTCGTTGATATTGACGATTTGTGGTGTGCCCATAAAGGTCAGTCATGTAACACTATGGTCACATTGCTTGCGCAAGGATGAGACCCTCCTTGTCTGGGTAGAAGCTCGGGGTCCTGTTATCTTATCACTAGCCCAAGATCTTCTTTGTTCCTTCCGGGAAGACTTCTTCCTTTGTTTATGATGAGGGATGCCTCTTTAAAACCTTACTAGGAAAAAACCCGGTGGGAAAAAATCCTAGTGAAGGAAAAAGAGTACACTGGAACCTTAAAATAAAGCAAAGGAAGACTAGTCCCCTCGGTTCTTGATTGAGTATCCGACTTACTGGTAAGCCGATATATGTTCGGGAAAGGCCAGTCGCATGGCTATTTGCCCGTGGTGGCGGTCGAGCTAAGGTATGCTCGGGAGAGACCACCCGCATAACTGTTTGCTGATGATGTCGAGCCAAGGCATGCCCATGAGAGGTCGGTCGCAA